GGGAACCTAGAAGCATCTCTCCTGGCTCTGCAGTCAAGCAGCCCCTTCTGGTGCTCCCAGGCTGCTCCAGCAACAGCCAGGACCCGACCCTGACCCAGTCCTGGTTGGCCCAGATGCCACCACGGTTTCCCAGATGACCAGGTGGAGCCCCCTTGGGCACCCTGGGGTAATGTAAGAAGTCACCTTGTCAGCCTTGGCAGGACATTCAGAAGAGGTGACTTTATTTTTAGTATTAACATACTTCTTTTGCTTATTAGTTTGATTACTTCTTATGCCCATTATTATAAGCTTTAACATATTTTTACCATGTTTGTGGGCCCTCGTGTGTGGGGTGTGTGTGTGTGTGTACTATTATTTGACATATGTTTCTAGTACTTTTTCTTAACATTTTATCTTCAAATTCAAATACTTTGGACTTCGACTGACTCCTGTCTCAGAGAAGCCCAGAAACCCACTCAGCAACTTACCTCCTTTGGGAAGGAGGATACTCAGGTATGTAGCTCATGTAACAACTGGCCGCACATGGTGGTAGTCCCCAGACCATGGACTTTCTGGCTTTCTTTTGATTGTCCAGTCCTTTCTCTCCAGGGGCAGTTGGAGGAAGTCTGGTGGGAATGCAAAGGCTGTGCTCTCAGAAGAGCCTCCCAGGTGAACTTGATGCTCAGAAGTCCTATAACTATTCTAATTAACTTCCCTCAGGGGAGAGACACACCTCTATAGGTGCTGGGTTTTCTGCTTATCAACTCTAGGCCTGTGCATATACCAAAAGCTGCTTCAGGTAGCTTGAACACCACATTTCCTCTGGTCACTTCCTACCTCAGGGTCTGTCAGACTTTGCTTTTGGAATGATGTGATGGACTTGGAGGATCCTGGATGACCTCTGATTCAGGGTACTGTCTTGGAGGGCAATTTGTCTATCTAGGTGGGCCAGAGATTAACTGGAAACAGATATCTCAGAAAACTGGTGCCCACAGAGGAGGAGTGGGGAGCTCTAGGGAGGGCTGTCATAGTAGCCCAGTGAGAAAATACTGCTATCTCCATTTTGTAGAAGAGGAAAGGGGGACACAGAGAATTTGAGAAACTTGCCCAGTGGTGTAATCCAGAGGCAAACCTAATGGAGCTTTCATTCATTCTCCTCCAACTCCACCAATTTCACCAGAGTGGTCCCCTCATTTCTGGCAAACTATTTCATTTCTGCCTAGCCTCTTGGGATACCAGGATACCAGCTGTGGCCCCCTTCTTCCTTGCAGGAGAAGTCTATGTTGCCCCTTTTTAAATAACCCTGCTGTATATGCTTGCCTCGGCCTCGGCGTGCTTCTCAAACTTCAGCATGTGGGGAAGCAGGACTTGTCACCAATAACCAGCGGTATCACCACCACCACCCGACACTGGTAAAAGTTCTGCCCTCTGCACCCCACTATCCCTCCCCAGCATCACTCCGAGTATGCGGGTGGCACGGTGGGGTAAGGCCAGTGGAGCATGCATGTTGAAGCTGGACATGCAGCACCCATTCAGTTCCTGGAAATCAGGTGGAAAGCACCTGGAGGCCTTGCTGCTTTTTGCAAGTGTCCCACTGGGGGGCAGCAATCACCCATGGTGGGGAATCTAGTTAATTTCTCCTGCAGCCAGGTTACTGTAAGCAGGTCTAGAAAGCAGAGTTTGCCTTATTTTGATAACCTGTTTACTGGTCTGACTTTTGTATTAACTGCATGCATGGCATATCAAAAGTCAGAGGTGTTCTATATCAGCCTATGTTGTATTTCCTCTGACTCAAAAACTTCTAAATCATGACCTATTGCTAAAAAAGGGGTGAGGAGGCTGACTTAGTTAAGGCTAAGTGAGCTATCCACAACATGTCTCATGAGCCAATCAAAGTTGTTTGATATAAGAAAGGGACCTGAGTATGTAAAATACTGGATTAAATGTCCTTGTCTATTGTGAGGTTTGTTGTTTGTGTTTCAGAAACTCCAGCAAGTTAATCTGTATTGTGACCTCCCCTGCGAGGGTTATGCTATGCAGCATTTCTCACTTTTCTTTTCCATGGAAACTTTTTCTCACATGGACTTGCAGACCAGCTGTTCTGCAGAACATGCTCTGGAAAACCCTAACCTGGAGTAACAGGAACCTCCCCAAGCAGTTTCTGTGAGGTAGGATGGTACAGATTGTAGACACTTCTGGTTTTGTCAATGTTGCAAACCAGATTTGAGCTGCCTTCTTTAGGAGAGGGTTGGGAGTGTTCTTTTGCAGAATTAGCCTGGCAGGGAGGACATATGAAGGTTTTTGTGTCAGGTTTTTGGCATTCTTTTGTTTATTCAATCCTCACCACCACTCTCTGAGATAGATCTTGGTTATCTTCATTTTATAGACAGACTGACACTCACAAATTACTCAAAGTACCACATCCAAGCTCCTTAGCCAGGAAGCTATAGAACTGATATTTGGAGCCAGAGGCCTTCTTTCTTTTTCTTCTTTTTTTTTTTAACAGTGGATTTCTAGGCATAGCATCTTGCAGCCAGTGTGGACTCGGAGAAGAACTGACTCATTTTAATGACTACCTGAGAAATTAATGATGAAGAGTAGGAATCAAAGCTGTCATGTCTCCAAGAGTGAGCAGAAGGAAGCCTGTAATGCCAGTTTTTGGTGGTAGGCATACCACAATCCTTCAAGTGACATATTGGCTAGGAATAAAAATGGGGCTATGGTTGTAGCCCAGCTGTAATGTACTTGCCTAGCATATGAGGCCCTGAATTGGAAAACAAAAACATAAATAACAGTATTTTAGAAAACATAGAATATAAAACACCAAGAATAAATCCTAATGAGTTAACTCTGGACTTGAAGAGACCATGTGCCATATACATCCATGGATTGCAACAAATGTACCATTCTGGTTTGGGATGTGCATATTGAATGAGGTTGTGCACGCATTATAATAGGTATTGGGAATATGTATTAGAATAGGTATGGAAAATATGTTTTTTCCAGGTAGTTTTGCTGTGAACCTGAAACAGATTTAATAAATAAAGTCTATTAGAAGAGGCAGAAGTGGAGGAGGAAGAGGAGATGAGAGAGAGGAGGAAGAGGAAGAGCTTGCCAATGTTCCACAAGGTTGAATGTCGAAGAATTGGTATCAGTGCTTTGAAGTGTGCCTGGTCCTTTTTTCCCTCCCTCCTGTTAGAAGAATTAGTTGTTCCTTTAACTAAGTTCCCATTATGTATTATTCCTATAGTATATTGGTTACACTGCATTGAATCAAAGTTATTTTCAGGACTCATTTCCCGAACCCTGACCTTTCCAATGGCAAAGGCAATGTAGTATTTTGTGATATTTCTACAGTACTAAATAAGTATTTATTTCGTGAATGTATGAAGGCCCTCCTGTGGCTATTGCTTTTTAATGCAGTTTTAAAGGATTTTTGCCAGAACATGCTCTTTTTGGCTTTCAGAATCCTGAAAACAGCTGCCTCCATGTGGTTTATCCAAGAGACAGTGGTACACAGGAGCGTGAGAAAACATTGAAACATTGAAGGAAGTTTCTGAGAAATAAGAACATAACAATAATCCTAAACTAAGAATTTATACATACTGAGAATCTTCACATTAGTAACATTACTATAGTAGAGTTTGGGAAAAACAACTAGTCCTTGGAGACAATAAATATAAGCAAATGCAATGACAACTTCTGGACTAGAATTCTGTGTGGTGACACCAGTCAGCTGGGGAGTTGTCCGGTGTGGGGAGTAGAAGATCTTACTGGACAAAAGCCACCTCTGCATCTTCCCAGTGGCTGTGTGAAGTGCCACAGGCTTTAGGTTTGATAAATGTAAATATGTGGACTGAATTTCTGGGAAAGAGGACATTTGCCATGTTATTATTATTCTTTTATATCTTCATAGGAATCATATGCAATTCATTTTCTTTAAAGAAGGCTTTAAGAGGGACATTAGACCTTGATGCTTAGAGTGAAAAGGGAAACTTAAGAGGTAATAGGGCACTAAACATTATTTTTCTTTAATTTCCCCAAATGCTAGCATTTAGTGGACAAAGTGAATACTCTTAGTTACACAACTGCTTTAATTTTAGGACTAAGGCATCATTTTTAATTTAAATAATGTACTAGTTTTGTTTAAAATAGGAGCATTGAAACTGTAAGGGTTTTATTAGTCAAGGCCCTACTCCTTTCTGCCTAATCTAGAAGTCACTTAACTTCTCTGAGCTTTGGATTTTTCACTGAGAAAATGGGTACAACAATACCTCTCTGGCTTTCCTCACAGGGTGGCTGCCCATTAAGATCCTTGTGAGTAATGTTTTATAAACTGGACAAATGAATTATGCATAATTGATGTTAGTGTAGGAAAGATGTTATGAAGCTCTGCCACTCATTATCAGTGGAGTTCATTGTTGATGGTACAAAAACCAAGTTGTGCCTTGAGTCTCATGTTCCTTTAAGTTTTAAAGGAACTTCTATTAGGTTTTGAAAATAAATGTCATTGGCATTTTAGCTGAAATAAGTGTAGGTTTCAACTCTAGGCATATATACACAGGCAATGATGCTATTTTGAAAAATAACAGATGTTCTTTGGGCCACCTTCTCAAAGAATTGTTAATTCATATCAGTAAATTGGGGAGACAAGCAGGGAGGGACTATGATGCATACAAATCATCGTAGAACCCACAATATCTGATTTGTTCCACAGATTTTTTTTGGCAATCAACAAATACTGAGAGGTGTTGGAACTCTCCTCTACATTCCTGTAGCTTTTTAACTGTGTAGGACTTACCTCTGAAGCCCATGAGTTCCTTCAGTGTAGAGCCTGTGGCTTAGAGATTTGTGTGTTGTGGTTTCCAGCAGTGAATATTAGTTAAATCAAAATTTGGCTGAGGCTGCATATCAAAGACAAGAGGAAGTGACACCTGGCAGATTTTTGTCTTGAAGGTGGTACCTGCTCCTACTGTTAAGGTCTGGAGAGCGTCAGAGGAAGAGACCACCAAGAGACTGTCTCATGCAACCATAAAGGGTTTATTAGGGAACCAGCATGCTGGGACTCAGAGCTCACTTCGGAGGAGCAGAGAGCCCCGGGAACAGCTTAAGCAGAGCTTATACACATTTCTTAGAAAGGGCAGGGACTTTACATGCAGCATAGCAAATCATTGCACACCGAGGGAAAATCAAACCACAACTCTAAAACATGATTAGCACATTCACTGGTGGGAACAGGTCAGGCAGGGGTGATTGGTCAGTACAAAGAAGGGTATACATTTGAACTGATTGGTTTGAGCCCTGAGTGTATATGTTCTGGACTGCATGGTTTCTGGGAGAGGTTGTTTTCTCAGAGCAACCAGATGGTCAGGGGAGATTTCAACATACATTTAGTGGGCATTTCTGGGAGTTGTTTTTAACTTCTACATGAGTTTCAGGTTCCAGGAAAATGGAACTTAATTCTTACATTCTTAACCTTCCATTCCCCACTTCTTTTTCTGACTACTTTTAATCTTAAAAGTAATAAATCATAATCATTGAGGGGTATCACACTCTATTTCTGCCAGTGAGGCATATTGTTGTCTGATTACCATAAGTTTAACTTGTTCAATTTGAGCTTGGAGAAAGGAAACTACATGGTTGAGCAAACAGGGTCCTACAGTTAGCAATAATACGAGGATTATTAAAGGACAAGCTAGGGCTGATAAAAGCGTAGTTAACCAGGGGGATGGTGTGAACCAAGACTCAATCTACCCTTTTTGAGCTTCTCTCTCTCGTTGACGCTCTTCGAATTTACTCATAGATTCTTTTACAACTGCAGTATGGTCGGCATAAAAACATTCTTCCCTCAATGCAGCACAAAGGCCCCCTTCTCTCATGAAGAGGAGGTCTAACCCTCGTCTGTTCTGTAGGACAACTTCAGAGAGAGAGGTTAAAGATTCCTGCAAAGCTGTGATAAAGGTTTCTAATGTCTTTAAGTCCTGGTCTATTGCTACTTCTAATTGGGCCATCTGTTGGGAACCATGGACCAGGGCAGTGGTTCCTGTTCCCACTCCTGCGGCAACTCCTATTCCCAATAAAATGGCTAATGTGAGGGATACAGGTTCTCGGCGAAACTGGGTTGTATGCCCCCCTATTTGATCTCCAAATGAACCTGTGTCATGATAGAGCACTCTGGGAAATATCTGTATCATTACACAATAATTAACAGAGCTGTTAAATATCTGGGCTGAAATGCAGGGAGTTATGAGTCACATGCCCACCAGGTTTCATTTTTAGGGATAAGGAAGCCCTGTGTGATGCTGATTTCTTTTATCTGGTACATAGGTGTTGTTTACTTTTAGGTGGGGACTCTAGACATAAGCCTGTCCCAGTTACTTCTGGGAGGGTTAATTTAGGATTTTTACCCCAGTTACAGGAGGAACTCTGCACTTTTACTGCATAAGTCCTGTCAATTGCTATCCCTTCATAGTAAGGGGGAGCAGTGGAGAGACAGATCCAGCAAGATTGAGTAAAGTTTGGTTGCGTGGATTTCAGTGCCATATAGGCTGCTCTAATTAGCCCCTAGGGGGAGGGGTTGGCTTAGCTCTGGATTGGGGAAGTAAAGGAAGGTGGAACTTGGGTAGTATGGGATGGTGGAGGGGCCTTGGTCCTTGGTGGGGTGGTAGATTTAGGCATGGGAGGGTTGGGAGGCCTAATTTTTGGCTTGAGGAGATGGGGCCTTATGGCTAAGGGAATTTCTTCCTTTTTAAGCCCGATGGTGAACCAAAGGCCGAAGTCATTTCATGAGGCATAAAATCGCATTCCCCAGGTGTTTCCTGAAAGCCATGACCAGGCATATTCTTTTCCTTTGGGAGTAAAGGTTATATTTAGAGGGTTACATAGACCCTTTGTTCCACACCAAGTTGCTTGATATCTATGACCATAACAGTCGCGGGGGTCTATCCAGGAGTCATTCCCTCCCACCCAAATTAAGACTCTCAGGGGAGTTCGGGTTCCACCAGGCAGACCCTGTTTGTTCACATCCCCATGACCTACAATAGAAATCATTTTCTCCCCCACATAACTATGACTGCTTGCGGCTTCGGAAGTCCGCAGGGCAGACATAGTAATCCAGAGTGGCTAGCTTGCATCGAGCTGAGGGACTACCGCAACCTCCATATCTTAGATTGCGTTTTCGACGTGAGTCGAGGTCAAGGACAATGAATGGGATTTGGTTGGGGTTTTCTACATCAGGGATATCCCAGTCGGAGAGACCTATAGCAAGCTGACAAATGTCTGGGGGAAGAGATGGCCACCAAGTCCATAAGGGGGCTGTATGTGAAATGGACCATACTTCTTCCCCAGTAGGATTTATGATCTGCCATTGCTGTTGAACAGGCTGATGGGGGTTAGGACTGCTGGTGGTCAAGGGGAGAGTCCATAGCCCTATCCACACAGTAAATACACAATTTGAAAGGGTTACCAGTCTTTTCCAGTTTCCAGCTGGAGTCTGGAGAGGGTGTGGGCTTGAGATGGGAGGCATGGATCCAGGAAGTGATTCCGTCCACCTTCACCGCTGTTGGTGTTATAAGCAGCACCTGGTATGGTCCTTTCCAGCGGGTTCGAGGGATGACACCTGATGGCGCCTTATGTAGACAAAGTCTCCCACTTGATATTGATGTGGGGTCCCCTTGTCTCCAGGTTGGTAGGCAGTGGCCAACTGCTTCCACAGGTATTGCTGGGTTCTTTCAAGAGCTTTAAGTCTGTCAAGCAAGGGGGTGTGAAAGGAATCATTAAGCCTCAGAGTTGGAGCTAGGTCCCTTACTGGAGGAGGGACACCATAGAGAATTTCATAGGGGGTGAGGTTACACAAAGAAACGGAAGGAGTATTTCTTGCACAAAATAGTGCATAAGGCAGGAGCATAGTCCAATCCTTTATGCCGGTCTCTAAGCTTAATTTTGTTAAGGTCTCTTTAATGGTTCTATTCATTCTTTCTACCTGTCCTGAGCTCTGGGGTCTATAAGCACAATGTAATTTCCAATTAATCCCCAGGGTCCTGGCCAACCCCTGACTTACCTGGGCCACAAACGCCGGTCCATTATCAGACCCTATTACCTTAGGCAGGCTGTATCTTGGAAAAATATCTTTCAGGATCTTCTTGACCACCATTTGCGCCATTTCTTTTTTTGTGGGGAAGGCTTCAACCCATCCTGAAAAAGTATCTACAAAGACTAGGAGATATTTAAGTCCATACCTTGCTGGCTTAATTTCAGTAAAGTCTACTTCCCAAAATTGTCCTGGTCTGGTTCCCCGTAGGCACTTTCCTGCAGGAAGCTTGGAAGGTTAAGCATCGACCAATTGACAGACCCGACAGGCTTTTGTTACCTGTTCAGCTATTTCCTTTCGCTGTGAGTCGGTTAGTGGAAAACTCTGTTCTTGATCCTTCAGGAATGCCTGCAGTTTCTTTGAACCAAGGTGAGTGAGTTGATGTACATTTTTAGCATAGTATAGGACTTTCTGAAATTGCAGGCTAGGCTCAGTGAAATCAAGGAGTTCAGTGTCAGTGTCCTTAGATGTTAAGTTGCCAGGGTGCTCCAACTTGGCTAAATCTCCTGACTTTTGTTACCCTGGTGTGGAAAGTGTTAACATGGTTACTCCATTTAGGGCTGCCAATTTAGCTTCTTCATCTGCCCTCCTGTTCCCGACTGCTACGGGATCGTTTCCTTTCTGGTGTCCTGGACATTGCACTATAGGTAGTTCCCTAGTGCTTTGCACTGCTGAGAGAAGGCGGAGAATCTCATCTTTGTTTTTTATTTCTTTTCCTGCCGAGGTTAATAGTTCCCTTTGCTGGTAGATAGCCCTGTGTATATGAGCAGTAGTAAATGCATAGCAGCTATCTGTGTATGTAGTGGCGTTTTTGCCTGTAGCTAGTTCCAATGCTTTCATGAGGGCGATTAGCTCTGCCTTCTGAGCCCATGTTCCCTCTGGGAGACTAGAGGACCAGATGACTTTAGTTCTGCTAATTATTGCCACCCCAGCCCACTGCTTAACGTCCTGGAGGAAGCTGCTGCCATCTGTGAACCATATGACCTCAGGGTGGGGCAGTGGCTGATCCTTTAAATCCAGTCGTATACTGGTTTCCTCTGCCAGTATATGTTGACAGTCATGAGTGAAGGTTCCTGATGATTGTTCAGGTAGTAGTGTAGCCAGGTTAAGCGGGGCAGGGGGTCCCAGCATTATTCTGTCCTTGTCGAGCAACAAGCTCTGATAGTGTGTTATTGTAGTGTTTGATAGCCATCTGTCTGGTGGCTGGCGGATGATGCTCTCCAGGCCATGGGGGGCTATAATGGTTAGCTTCTTCCCCAGCATTAATTTATCAGCATCATTGATTAGAAGAGCCGCTGCTGCTATAGCTTTTAGGCAATGGGGCCACCCGCTAGCCACTGGGTCCAGCTTTTTAGACAAGTAGGCTACAGGCCTTTTCCAGGGCCCTAGAGTCTGAGTGAGCACTCCTCATGCTATTCCTTTCTTTTTCTCAATGTAGAGAGTAAAGGGTTTTTCTACATCCGGGAATGCTAAGGCTGGAGCAGATAGCAGCGCCCTTTTGATGTTATCAAAAGCTTGCTGGTGTTCAGGGGTCCATTGGAATTTGGCATCTCCCTTCAACAGTGGGTATAAAGGAGCAGCTAAGGATGCAAACCCAGGTATCCATAACCTGCATAAGCCAGTGGTCCCAAGAAACTTTCTGAGTTGCCTCCTATTAGATGGGGGCGGCGGTATCTGCACAACAGTTTGTTTTCTGGGCTCAGTGATCCATCGTTTGCCACTCCTAAGAGAATAACCCAGGAAAATTACTTCTTGCTGGCAAATTTGGGCCTTTTTGGCAGAAGCTCTATATCTGAGCTGAGCAAGCTCGAATAGTAGTGCTTGGGTCCCAGACTCACAGTTTTCCTTGGTGTCAGCTGCCAGTAGCAGGTCATCCACATATTGAAGCAGGGTGACTTCTGGGTGTGTAGTTCTGAAGTTATTGAGGTCCCTGTGGAGGGCTTCATCAAAGAGAGTGGGGGAGTTTTTGAACCCCTGTGGGAGTCTAGTCCAGGTTAGTTGACCAGATGTTCCTGTTTCTGGGTCTACCCACTCGAAAGCAAACAGCAATTGACTATCTTTATGCAGAGGCAAGCAAAAGAAAGCATCTTTTATGTCCAGAACAGTATACCATTTCCGCTCAGGGTTCAGAGTGGTGAGCAGATTGCACGGATTAGGTACCGTGGGGTGAATGTCCTGTACTCTGTGGTTGATCTCTCTTAGATCCTGAATGGGGTGGCAGTCCCCAGTTCTTGGCTTTCTTACTGGTAGCAGGGGAGTGTTCCAGGCTGATTGACAGGGCCTTAGGACCCCTAAGGTTAATCTGTTATCCATTTCTGGGGTAGCTTGCCTGTTTGATCAGTCATGGGGGTGTGAAGAGTTGATGTTCATCTTCTACTGACATAGTCAAAGCTGTGACTATGGGAGTTTTTACTGAAGGATTTAGAAATTCCACTTGGGGGCCATCAGGATTAGAAGTTATTCTGGCCTGGAGCTTGGTGAGAAGATCCCTGCCCATCAATGGGGCCAGGAATTCTGGGATTACTAGGAAGGAGTGATGGATTTTTCCCCTCCCCAGGTCCATAGTCCTCTTAGTTGTCCAAGCCCGATATTACTGCCATTACCCCCTTGAACCAGAGACCTTTTATTTGATAGGGGTCTTAAGGGCTGAATATACTGCCCCCATATCCAATTCAAAGTTTACTGGGGTCCCCTCCACTTCAAAAGTTACCCTGAGCTCGGGGAGGGGATCTGAGCCCCGACTTTCCTAATCATTCTCCAGAATCAGAATGGCTGGCTGGCATGGCTGCTTCTTTTTAGGGCACTCTTTGGCCCAGTGTCCTTTTTCTTTACAGTAGTTGCATTGATCTGAGACCAGGGGCGGCCTTTGGCGTGGGCCCAGGTATCCCTTCCTGTCTCCCTGTTTCTTAATTTCTGGCCTATTTGCTGTTGTGACCAGGACCTTAGTCAACGCCTTAGTCTACCTTTTGATTCTTTCATCCTCTCTTTTCTCCCTTTCTTTTTCCTTCCTCTATTCCCTTTCTTCCTCAGTTTCTCTCTTACAATATACCTTCTCGGCTTCTCTGACTAAATCTCTCAAAGTCATATCTTGTAATCCATCTAAGTCCTGTAACTTTCTTTTAATATCTAGGGCAGCTTGCCCAATAAAGGCCATCGTGACAGATGTCTTTTGATCCTCTGCCTGAGGATCGAAAGGAGTATATCTCCTATATGCCTCCATAATTCTCTCTAGAAACACAGAGGGAGATTCATCAGGCCCTTGAATAATCTCTCTTACCTTGGCCAAATTAGCCAGTTGCCTAGCGGCCACTCGGAGACCCACTATTAGAGCCCGGCAATAAGTGGACAGATGCTCCCTACCTTCAAAGGTGTTGGGGTCCCAGTTGGGTCGGTTCAAGGGGAAGCTGGCTTCAATTATGTTGGGAACTTGTGTCAGTCGCCCATCTTGTCTGAGGATATTTTTTCTAGCTTCCAGGAGGATCCTCTCTCATTCCTCTGTTGTGAAGAGAGTCCCTAGGAGTTGTTGGCAGTCATCCCAAGTGGGCTGGTGTGAAAACATCAGTGACTCCACTAAACCTTTTAGCCAGGTGGGGTCCTCGGAAAAAGAGGGATTGTTATTTTTTCAGTTATATAAGTCTGAGGAGGAGAAAGGCCAATACTGGTAGACTTGCATTTCTCCCCCATGGCCGTCATCAATCATTGGCCCATAGGGATGGAGAGGGAGCATCACGGGAGCTTCATGGTTTTCAATCATTTGCCGCCAATGGGTTCCTTTAGCTGGCCCAGCTTCCTCCAGGGGAGGATGGGCTGGAGCCATTGCAGGGAGGTCATCTGGAGGGCGCTGGGCTGGCTCAGCCTCCTCCAATGGCAGAGAGGCTGAGTCAGCAGCAGGGGAATCATTCAGAGGATGTTGGGGGTTGGGGGGCGAGGGCAGGGGATAAGGTGGGGGAGGAGGGTCCTGTAGGGTCAAATCTTGAGATTCAGGGAGAATAGAGGGTGGAGGGGGAGGAGGAGCAGAGGGTTTGAGTGATAGAATCATGGGGGTAGGAGTAGGAGCAGGAGCGGGGGTAGGAGTAGGAGCGGGAGCAGGGGCAGGGGCAAGGAAAGGCTTCACCCATGGAGGAGGAGATTCACAGAGGTCCTGCAAAGTTAAGATATACGGCTATTGATCTGGATGGCTATGTGGCCCCGGCTGAAAGACAATATCTCTGACTTTTTGGATTAGAGGGAAGTAGAAAGATCCTTCTGGGGACCATCCAACTCCAAAGGTGGGCCATTCTGATGCACAGAGAGTCTGCCAGGTCCGGCCTTTTAGTGAAAAAGAAAGATTCTGGGCCCTTGAGCGGACTTCAGTCCAGTGATCAAGGGTCAGGGACAGAGGCATTGAAGTGTTTTGCCCCATAATTAGAGATACACAGTGAAAGTAATGACACACGACACAGACAAGACAAGATAATAAAGACAGACAATGGACATCCAACACTGAGACCAGACTTAGTAGCTGGCAAAACCTGATGGGCTGGCAATACCGAATCTGAAGCAAAATATCACCAAGTCGAGGAGACTATTGTTCCTTGATTTCCCGAGTCCTCTGGGGCATCCCCCAGGGACGTGGCCTGTGGCTCTATGACATGTCTGTCAGCCACTGTCGGAGAGAGCTCACACTCTTCACCGACAGCCACCTTGCCATGCCCCAATCTGCAACCTGAAAATCATACAAAAAGAGGCGCCTTACTTACCCCAAGAGGAGCCCGTTGGGGGTCGTTCGTCCACCGCTGCCGGATCTCGGTGGAACCTCCAGATATTAAGGTCTGGCGAGCATTGGAGGAAGAGACCACCAAGAGACTGTCTCATGCAACCGCAAAGGGTTTATTAGGGAACCAGCATGCTCGGACTCAGAGTTCACTTTGGAGGAGCAGAGAGCCCCGAGAAGAGCTTAAGCAGAGCTTATATACATTTCTTGGAAAGGGCAGGGACTTTACATACCGCATAGCAAATCATCGCACACTGTGGGAAAATCAAACCACAACTCTAAAACATGATTAGCACATTCACTAGCGGGAACAGGTCAGGTAGGGGTGATTGGGCAGTACAAAGAAGGGTATACATTTCAACTGATTGGTTTGAGCCCTGAGTGTATACGTGCTGGACTGCATGGTTTCTGGGAGGGGTTGTTTTCTCTGAGCAACCAGATGGTCAGGGGAGATTTCAACATACATTTAGTGGGCATTTCCGGGAGTTGATTTTAACTTCTACATGAGTTTCATGTTCCAGGAAAATGGAACTTAATTCTTACATTCTTAACCTTTCACTACCTAACTGAAAAAAGACCTTGTGTGGCTTGAAGTCTTCTTACTGAGTCAAAGGAGATCAAGGAAGAATGCTGGCCACGGTTGAAAAATAAATGGCTTTAGAGCTTAAGAAGATCATGAAACAGCTGGCATGAGGATAAAGAGTTATACACATTAGCAGGAAATGTGTATGATTATGTAGCACAGATATTCTCATCCTTTTTTAAATGGCAAGACCATTCTTAGGTAAAAATCACAATGATGTCCCACAAGGGCAATCAGGTGAGGCTGTTCAAGACCAGATTCTGCCCTAAGGCTCTAACATCTAGGTGGAACCAGGCCAACAAGGACTGAGGGGATCAATTTTTTAGCATGTTTTGTGTAAGTTAGATTTCTGTTACTCTCACAAAACACTACAGATTATAAATAGCAAAGGATCACAGTTTTGAAGGCTTAATTCACGGTTGTTGGCCCTTTATCTTTTGGGCTGGAGGCAGTTGTAAGAGCATGTGTTGAGAAAACTTCTTATGGTGGTGAGAAGTGAAGTGATAAAGGAGGAGGAATGTGATCTCACTGTCGCCTTCAGGGCTAAGCCCCCAAAGAATGGGAGACTTCCCAATAGACCCCACCTCAGCCCAATAGCACTACTTTTAGGAACAAGCCTTTAACAAGTGGGCTTTGGTGATCATTTTAGTTGCAAATGAAAGCTGACTATAACATATTCCTGAATTGGGAAAGTCAAATATCTGTCACAAAATTCATGAAGTGGCCTGTAACTGTTTATAATTTAGAGTAAGAAGAAGCAGGGTCAAAATAATGAGTGAAAGATTGAAATAAAAGAAGAAAATGACTGATTCTTGGATTTAAAAATACTAGATTTGTCAAAGGATGTGTGTCTATGTGTGTTTATAAGCGTGTCACAAAAGACTTTGCACAGTTTAAGCTTCATTTATTTCAGGAATATAGATGCTGTGATCTTATCCCCAAGATCAAAGTATAAATTATATATAATATTTTATACTTATTTTAGTTCCATAAATACTGAATAATGAATTATTCATTTTAATATTTGAGTCAAACATTCTGAGGGCACACAGTACAGGAAGACTGGAACAAAAGGAAATTTACCATTAATCATTAAAAAGTTAAATGAGATAAAATAACTTCAATTTTTACATGTGAGTTAATGTAAGGCAAAAGCACTCTCTAGATGAATTTATGGACATAGGTAACCGGGAGATATAAATGTCTGGGTATAAGCAAGAATTACAAATAGTATGCACCAATTTCAAGGCAGTGGAATTGGCAGAGTCCAAGTCAGGGGCTCCAAGAGTAAAGGGGGACTCAGGTAAAGCCTGGATCACAGAAAAAAACAGGACCATTCCCTGGAGTAATATATAGTATAAAGAAAGGGTAGAGTGGGAATTGGAACTTCAGGCCTGGACACAGGGTCTGCTGGTTGGTGGGCGGGGAAGGAAGGGACTGTGGGCACACCTTTCTCAGATGCTCAGAACCCTTTGTGACTACCAGGCTCTGTGATGCAGGCCTGAGCTTATAGTCAAGCCCAGGCACCCTCAGGACTCAGATGCCTCAGGCAACCGAGTGATTCAGATGATGGAGAATATTCTCTCTTTTCTGGAAAGCAACATTCAGCCATGGCTGAACCATGCCTTAGATTATTTGGATACAGTCCCAGCAGCATCTTTATGACTGGAGTGGTATTGCTCCTTCTGCACCTTTGCTACCTGGTATTCAAAGTGTTTTTCTCGACACACTCGGAAAAACCCAACATCCCAAAGGTAGGGACCCCAAACAGGGGTTGTTCTTGTGGCTTCCCATTTCCCTTCTCACATTAGTAAATGAGTTGGGTTGGATCAGAGAGACATGTGAGGTGGGAAGTAGGAATAGAGGATAAAACTTCACTCTTTAGGGGAAGAGGTCAGGCAGGGCCAGGGGCTCAGGGAGGGCTAAGATTTCTAACTGAAGCTCACAGACTATTTTAGGGTCTCAGTGAAGGGTTCCAGGAGAAAATGCCAAAAAGTAATCTGGTCCTGATTGACATCCTTACTTATGGTGGGTTCTCAGAAGAAGTGTCTCTCCAGACACTTGATCCTGAGTGCCATTCTTATGTCACCTATCCTTCATCAAACCTTCTTCATGTTGGGAGGACATGAAGGAGGTTTGATGAAGGATAGGTGACATGTCCTAATAAGGACAGCAGTGCTGACCTCTGAAGGCTTCTGAACAGAGCCTGGAGGCTGAGATCTGTCCCCAGAACATAGGGTCCTGTGAGGGAGGCAGATGTGACTGTTGGCTCCAGGTTCTATAATCTCCTTCAGCAGAGGACTTCTGATTGAGAATGTCAGAATGTGCAGCTCACAAGTAAAATGCTCTCTTAAGCTTTCTAAAGAAGGAAAAATGAAAATTCTATTACCTTAAAAAAGTTAAAAGAAGGAAGAAATCTCCATTAATTAAGTGTAGACTAACAATAATTGTGGAGAAGATATACCTGAGTTTCATAGAAATAGGAGAATTGAAGTGAGTTCCAGGCCCTGATTCAATTATTTTTGTTCTCAGCAAAAGAAGAGACTCAAGAAGAGAAGAAGAGAAACATTCAAAGGTATGTTTCTTCTTTTTTGACCTGAACACTCTAAAGGTGACCCTTCATTCCCCTTCCATGAGGCCTCAGGTCCAAGACCTCTGAGGATGTGAGTTTTTAGCCACAGTCTCTCTCAGGAAACAGAGCCTCAGAGGAGAGAGACAGTGGTACCTTACACAATCCTCAGGGTCCCTACTGTGCTCACCCTGGTAATAAGTAGTGATGGACATGGGCAATGGGTGCGGCTTAAGTGCTAAAGAGTGTGTTGTGAGGTGAATAAGTGACTATGTGACCTTGAAGAATGACTACAGGTTGCTTTGAAGTCAGAACTTCTTTTTCCTGACATTGTGCAATGTACTTTTATTTCTTGGGTGATCAGACCCATCTCTGAGGAAATTGCTGAATTCAATGCTTATATCTACTGGTTCAGAGTCTCTAATGGGATTAACTATGTGAAGAACTTAATTACTGAAGCCACACACATAAATGCATTCTTAATGATTATTGCTCCAGTTGGACTTTGTCTTTAAAATTCTTGGGGGTTTCCAACCTGGATATTAATAAGCTTTTCTTATAAAGGGATCCCTGTGTGATCACTGTGTACAAATATTCCTTATGTATAACCCACTGTCCTGGTTTTCCAGGTCCGAGAATGAGCCAGAGAGAAACACAGGAATTAAAGAAGCTGTTTTCTGTTTTCATTCCTAGTCCCTTTCTCACATGTTCTATGCATTCCCCAGGGATTCAGTACAGCATGGCCTTCTCCCAGGGAGGGGGAGCCCTAGCAACAGGTATGTGAGTGAAGTCCTTGGGAAGTGCTAAAGAGTGTGTTGTGAGGTGAAGGATATGGGCAATGTGAAGGGGGTAAGAGGTTTCACCCACAGGACTGCAGACCTCCTTTTCCTGTATGGTCATTGTTACAGCTTTGTACTTTGTGTCCCTTACAGCCCCCTGGGCCAACATCAGGATAGAGTCAACTTGCAGCAACTGTTACATCCAGACAACCTCTGTAAGATATTTAATGAGCTCAGTCATCTGCTATCTCTGGCACCCTTGGAAGATGTTACAAGTATTCAGACACCTTTGGATTCCACAGGTTATGTGAGAAAATCATCACCTTCCAAATTCCCTGCTCTCTCCTCAGTCCCAGGAGGGGAACTATTGCCAGCCTCTCTGTTGAAGCTTTCTCCACCTTCCTCATTCTCTCTTCCACCTAACAAGGTCATGCCCTCAGCTGACCTTCTCTCACCTTCCCCATTGAGTGACTCTCTGCCACCAGAGCCTCTTCCTCCCTTGGACTCCAAGGCCACAGAAGACCCTTTACCACCCTCATCACTTTCCCTCCCCGCTTCTGCACCACATCCCACTCAGGAAACAGACACTCTTCTACCACAAGATGCCACTGTGCCTGTGGTGAGCAGTCCTGCTGGCTTGTCCACTTTTGTTCCAGTGGGAGGCATGGACCATTCCAGCACATAGCCCCCTGCCAAAAATGTGTTGTCTTCCAATTTGGCACAAGATGGTGTAAAACAGCAATTTCCTGCCCTCCGTTCTAAGAACTTATCTGGGAGATACACTGTAGCCTACTGTGTGGAGACTCCTAACATCTTGTTTCTGCCCCCTCCTGTCCTGACATGCCTAGAGAGACAAATCAAAAAGAGGCATGATGTCCTCAAGTGGAAAGAAAAGGAAAAGAAAGCAGAATCTTTTCCTAAACAACATCAGCCAAATTACCAAGGATTTTCTTCAGAGAAAAGGTCAGAGTCAGATGCTAATCAGCAGGACGTGGCCATCTCTCTTCTTTCATGGAACGAAAAAAAACAAATCAGAGGAACCACAGATGGGTCAGCAGTCCCCTTATCCTAAGAGCTTTGAGGACAATTTACAGAAAAACTACACCCAGCTCTCTATGGTGCCCCATCTCTACACCCCAAGTCCCTGAGCCCTAGTTTACCAGCTTCAGGTGATTATTCCTCAGCCTTTGTCTGCTTCAATACAGCATCCAATGACTCCAAAGCCCACAAATCCCCAGTCCTTCTCTATACCCCACCTGTGTTCCTGCCTGTGATCCAACCTCAACCCTTGCCCAAGACCTCTTCCCAACTTCAGCCTCAACATCTCTCTCCTGAACATGCCCAGACCCAGCTTAAGCCTCAATCCCCACTCCCAATTCTGTCACCTCCTAAAAACCATTTTAGGATCTGTGGAGTGCGTGATCTTGGACCCCAGAATGTGGCACTATTTCTGGTGCCATCTGAAATTCATGACCTCGAATTAAATGTGATACCAAAAACACAAGTCTGTGGGGTTTACCCTCTGTGGTCCACAAATCCCAGGAGGACTTTTGTCCTCCAGCTCCCAACATTGTGTTGGTTAACCCATCCTCCAAATCTCATGTTTCAATCTTCATCCTTCCTGGAAATTATCCCCTCTCAGATGATGTTCAGAAGAAACTAGACCACCACCTTCGAAAGAAGCATATCCAACACTTGTGGGGCCTGCCCTGCAGAGTCTATGCATCCCTGTCACTGATGCATCCTCTGGAAAAAATTCCTGAGACCTCTGAGTCAAAGAGCAGTTGTGGCCTCTCAAGAAAGTCTTTGGAAAAGAGACAGAGCACCAAAGATATAAATAAGGGGAGCTTGAGCCAACCCAGAAACCTTCATGAACTGAGCTCAGGAATGCTTCCTCTAAAGATGGGAGTGAGGAAGGCACAGAGAGATGGTACCAAGATTGAGCAAAATCGTCATGTGCTGAGTGACCAACATAATGTTCTGGGGTCTTCCTCAAGGAAGGACCTAGAATGTCACTTGCAGAGTCCATCAGGTGGAACTCCAAGTACCTCAATGATGAATCCAATTCAGAAACAACTTGAAAATGCTTTGAACTCCCACCTGAGCAAGAAGTTTCAGGAAATCAATGAGGGTCAGATTCCTGACACTGTGCATAGGTCATGGCATTCTATCAAGTTGGCATTGCCTGTAAGTGAGAAATACACCAGACAAACGAGTCACAAACCTTTGGCACCAACCAGGACAGACAGCTCTGTCAATTCTACCCAGGCTATTTCCTTCCTGGATGCTGGCAAGAAGAGGATGATGGAATACCACATTAAACTGTTTCATAAGAGGTTGATATATGGCCTTTAAACAGGGTTCAGGAATCCCTAGAGATCTTTAATGAAAAAGATTCATATCACTCCTTTTCTCACTCCAAGTTTTCTTTTTCTGCCACCCATATTTCTGGGGTGGATTCTAAACAGAACATGTCCAATTCCCATGGAGGAAGATCTAATGCTTTTCATGGAGACAAAGAGAAAACCAAAAATGCAATTTAAAGTCTAGATCGTCCTCTCCTTGCCACCTCAGCCATGGTCAAGAAAGAACAGGCGATCCTGACACCAACAGTCTTTGAGAGCAAGCATGAGCATGTAGAGGACCTTCGAAGAATAAAGCATGGCAAACCATCTGTTTTGCTCCAGACACAGATCATTATAGGCAAAGCTTATCAGAAACCACCTGTAGCAGCCAAAAGATGCAGCCCAAAGCTGCCCATGAGGCAAGCTGGGGTTGGACCTCAGGAAATAGGACCTAAGAGACTGAGTTCCAGCTACAGTGTAGCAAGGCCTCAGGGCAATAGGATGCCCTGGGGAAGTTCTTCCATGTCCAAGATATCTGAGAAATCCAGGGAGACATTGAAGGCACAGGAGCTCTATGCTTGTCAGTCACAACCTCCCACTGTCTTGACAACCAGAAATCCAGAAAGCTCTCCAGTGTCAGATGTCTATACTCCTGAAAATTCCCCCAAAATATCAGTTGTTAGAGACCCTGGATTGTCACACCTTAACAATCCATTGTTTGGTGAGTTAAGGGCTAAAATGAAGGGGGAACCTAGCCAGAAACAAGGCCATAGCAATGGCATACCCCTTGTTACAAATAGCTTGACTTCCAAGACCTTCCTTAACCATTACCAGGGTGCTGCCTGCAAGAACATGGTAGTTTCCCAGGTCCTGCATGTCCACCTGGACAACACACAGACTAGCATGGATCATGGGCTGGGGCCACAAAGACCAAGACAAGAACTGCCCAGCAACCGCTAAGAGAATGACCCTTCCAGGACCCAAAACACGGGAGCTTGGTGGGGAGGGGATGCAGGGTTGGGCACATGCCAACCCAGGAGGAGGAGCCACCACCCTCAAGACAGGACATTAGAGCAGACATTGGGAGCAAGTCCTGCTCAGCCCAGTCACTGAAGGGACCAGCTCCTCCTGAAAGCCTCAGAAACCCGGTGAAGAACGTTTTTCAATGGCTTTATCCTAATATAAAAGGCAAAAGGCAAGAAGGTTCCCTGGAAAAGGGCAGCTCCCCAACTCACCTGTGCAGGGCAGAGGCCTAGTCCAAAGGAGAGTTGCCTTTACTGGGAATACTGACAACCCCAGAATCTTGAGAGGTGGTGAAAAGGTCCTGGGGGAGAAACATGGGCACCAGCATGGAATCAATGTCACCTGCCCTCAAGAGCCACATTTGTCCCCCAAGAAGTCTGGGAAAACTCAGCCCAAGGCAGGACTTCAGGTCCAGGCTGAGTCTGTCCAGGTGCATCCTTTCAATTACAAGGCTCCTTGTTCTAAAATAACAAGGGTCAAGTCTTGTAGCCAAGAATCAGGTCTTGCTGGCCAGAGCTGTCTAAAAGGAATAAACAGAGACTTGAACAGAGAATCCCCAAAAGCAATTCCTGCACATGCCCCACAGGGATCCCAAGTCTCATCCAAGTCTCATCTGTGGGTATCAAGTGGGTCAGGTGCCTGTGCCTGCCTGTGCACCTTCTGAAGTCACTGTGTTGGGAGATCTTTCCCTACTATTTAAAGAGAAAATTCTTATCCAACGTTTTCACAGAGGAAAATTTCCTTTCTCCTAATGATTATTCCTGATGGAGATTTCTGATTGTTCCTAATAAATTTTCTTAACAAGAGTTGTGTGTTTTCTGTGTACTGTGTTAGGTGCATGGGTTTTAGTAACCTATTGGTTGTGCTTTTGGAAGAGAAAAGTTAAGCTCTTATTTTTTGCCTTCATTGGCTTCTGTAAGGTGACAAGTTCCCCAGAGCTGCTGTTGAAGAGCTAAGACCTGTTCTTGAATCCCCTTCCTTTTGAAATTGGAGGAGGTGGCTGTTTCCAACCTCTTAGTTTAGCCTTAATGGTATTGTCTGGCAGCCCACACCTTCTCCCCTCATGGATTGGGCAGTAAGGCAGATAAGGCTTGCACACCAGAAAAGAGAATCAAAGACAGGTATATTTTTTTAGAATAGAGTGGCTTAGTCATTTTTTAAGTTGTCACTGACCAGACTGTCACCGTGGGTGAACCTCTTCTGGGGACATTTGTGGGCATTGCTGCACTGGATGCAAGGCCAGCTGGTAGAGAGACTGGGAGGAAGACGACCAGTGAAACTCCACATCATGTTCAACCACAAGAATATGATCCTACTTAGAATATGTTATATTCCATGTGTGTACAATATGTCAAAATGCATTTTATGGTCATGCATATCTAAAAATAAAATAAAGTCTGGAAAGAGGGGAGGTGCTGCTTTCGAACCTGTCATGTGGGCATATTAATGTGTTTCAGAAGCATACTGTGACTGTTGTAGGGACAGATGAAGCTGGACACTGAGGAATAGCAGGAAGCAGATTTTTTGGCGGTAGCCAGATTCAAAATGGGGGCTTTTACCTC